CTTGATTCGCATTTAAAAAAATTAATATACTGAAACAAAATAAAATAAAAATCAATGTATTCAATTGAAAAAATTTAAAATTGATACATTTATTATATAGTTTTTCCACTAAATCTCTATTACGAATATTCAATCAAATTCTATTTTGTTCAAGTATGTGTGTATATATATATACACACTATGATAATAGCAGATAATATGCGTTATAAAAGATATGCTATCCATCTTGATTCACAGGATGATTAATTACTGTGATTAGGGTTTGATTCACTTTTGAACGCTATATGAAAGGATTGTCGAGAAACATAATTCTCAACTTATGTTGTTCCAAAAACGTAATCCAAAAAAAAAAAAAAAAAATTATGTTGTCTAACTATAAATCATAAATATTGAAATTAATGATACAACAAAAAATTGAGTGTCAGTGACCCACTGAACAATCTGATAAGAATTTTGTGGACAATTAAAAATAAAATAAAAATAACATCAGGCATTTCTTGAAACAATCTGTCCACGAAGTCAGAAGGCCACTGAAAAAGATCAGAATGAACATAGGACAGAACTGAGATGATAGCATCAATATAGTTTGTTTGTTTTTGATTGTCATTAATTCCAAAAGAAACTGGTTGCTTATTTTGAGTGTTCTGACTATGTTTTAATGACTGGCGTGAACAAGCGTGTTTTCATCCCAATGACCCCTTCCTCTTCTTTTTTTTTTTATTGCTATAATTTGTTACAAACACCTATATTATTATTACCATTGTAATTTTCCATGTTTTTCACATTAGCAGGTGGTCTTCCAAGCACCTATTTTCTCCCTTTGTCCTTCTCTTTGTTCTATTTTTGAAGAAGAATAAAATTATCCAAGGCCCGTGCCGTAAAGAAAGGTCAATGGGCTGGGCACTCAATAAGGCCCATGATTTTCGGCTGAGAGGAATGTTCCAAGATAGGCATTTGTGTAATGAACTGGGTTCAGTAATCGGCCTCTCAAAATAATCCATTTCTTTTGTACGGGGCTCTATATCAAATAAGAAACTAGGCCTCCTTTCAAAATGGGATTACATTGGCTACGACAAAAAAATAAGGCCATATCATCAATCATGTGCTTGTAATTCTTCCCCTCTTCAAAATCAATTTGTGCTTTAGATCGAGAAAAAGGAAACTTCTTTCGGAGAAGAAAACTAACCGTTGTTTTAGGTTAGAAATTCATTGGAGAGAAAGGAATCTCCAATTCCTCTCATATGAATCCAAAACGAATTAGGCTGCGAAAAAAAGGCTAGTCCATTCCAAGTTCCAACTCCTATATCTATAGACTCGTAAGCCCATGCAGTACTGTTTAATTGCTTCATCATGGATATAGTATGGTCACCTCTCTAAGCATAGGAGGTGCAAATTTATATTTAAGTTCACGGAAAAAAATTATCTTCCTAATTTTTTTTTTAATTTTTTAAAAGTGAGATCCGAACCGACTTTGAGCTTTTTAAAACGTTTTTTTTTTAATTTCCTTTTTATTCTATTATTTTCAAGATTTGAAGATAATATTTCTAGTTAAATTCTAAGTTTCAGCGTACAACGAGATTGTTCCTCCATGCTTTTTTCTTGCCCCAAGAAAGAAAAAACGTTTCTCGTTTAGAACTAACAAACCGTGTATGTATATGTCATACATTCATGGTAAATGGATGAGTATGCATGAGATATTGCAAGCCATATTTAAAGACCCAACACACCCTTAAACCATATATATATACATGTGTTATGCAATTGATTTTGAGGTGATCGTTCGCATGAACTGTTACGGATGGAAAGTTCTTCTTGTTAATTGTATATATACATTGAGTTTACAACTTGAAATGAAAAGTCAATAATCAGAGGTTACCTAGCTAGAAAGTTTGGGGTATTGATCAATCATACAGGACTATTCTCGCTTTCCATCTTTTTTGAGAACAATCAAGATGGGCACGATTTTCCATTTCTTCCACTTTGTAACGATGCTTAAAGGCAAACACGTCGCATCCTGTCATTTAAAGAATATTCACTGCTATAACATGGTGGGAAAAAACTGTGAGAATCTTTATCATGTTCATTGTTCGATCGTTAATTATTTCTTTGTGACCTTACTATGTTCATACCATATCATGCTTCCAAAAAATTTCCTAAAAATTGACAGCAAAGCTTTATCACAATTTCTAGGTGACACCCAATTCCTCCCGGCATGCCATTATGCATGGCCTATGCTATATATATATATATATGGTTTTAATAGATCACATAACAGATCACACACACATATCCACGATGTGTTCAGGACAGTACCTCTCCTACAGCACACAACAAAGTCAGCAGCCTACCTAGCATATCAGACTTTTATAACTAATAGAGGTAGCTTGTGTGTAAAACTTATATCAGCAAATATAGCGGTAGCGACACTCACAGCTTTCTCTCTTGTGTAACTTTATAGTTAATCTAGCATCAGATACTCCGGTTGAGTCTTATTGTATATCATGTGGAAGTTATGTATTAATGTACACTATTAGTAAACGAATCAAACAAAAATTAAAGCAGAAAAATAGTAACAATCACACAAAACAAGATTTACATGATTTCACAATATGTTTACTCCACATGTTGTACTAAAAGTTCTCATTAAGTTTTTTAATCAACTACAAATATAAAAAATAATATTCCTATTTATAATATAGACAACTAGCGAGATCAATATGCTTGGTTTTACGTAACATACTATATTACAAATTATATCTATATCAATCTCGTATAACAACATGTATGTAAATATCCGCAGCTTAATATATATTTACTTTTTTGAGTATATATACTAATAGAAAGCCTATCATTTTTTTTTTTAATGATAATAGCAAGGGTTTTTGGAGAGACAACTTTTCTTCTTAAATTTATTTTCTATTATTAATTTGTTTCTGTTGGACTTGATGGAACCTAAAAACCTATAGGCATGGAGATTTGTAGGTATAATGTGAATGGATGTAGCATTTCCAAATGTTCTACATCATGATGTTCAAAAATTATGAATACTTTGCCAATAATAATAATATTAAATACATGTAAGTTACATATTGATTGAAATTGAACGGTGGTGCTTATATGAAAATCTTAAACAGATTAAGCAAGGGCTTAATCAGGAAAGGATGATAGGACAATTTAAACAAATAATCATTACTACACATCACCTTATCCTTAACTTTTACAAATTGTCAACAATATACGTCCTGCTACTTAATTTCAAGAAACAATTCCATTTTCTAAAACACGAGATTTGAATCTTTTCTCCACTATCTTATAAGAAACTGAAAATCTACGTAATAAGCAAAATTTTGTTTTAATATATTAATAAAGAGATATATACATCTAATTTTAGTGGTGTTTGTATCAAAGAATCATTTTAACTCCTATAAAAAATGTTAGTTGAGGTTTTTAATACACTTTTTCAAATGAATTTTTTTTTACTTAAAACTTATATAAACCCACCATGTTAAATAACTACTTTAATCTAAAACATTAATCTGTTAAATGAGACTCAAAATATGTTTACAGTACTCTCTCTAATACTGTCATGTTTATATTCAAGTTTTTGATGAAAAAATATACCCAAATTACGATGTGAGTGTACGATTAAAACAAAAATTATATGTGGAGTATAAATGCTAGTGGGTGTTTTCTGAGTACATACATATGCTTAGCATGTTTCCTAGCTATGTCATTTTTGTAAGCATAGGATCATAAAGCTACGAGATGATGTAAAAGTTGAAGTTGGCTTTTCATCCAGTTAATACTGTTTCTCCTAGATACACACATAGATTAGGTATAAAGATGGCCGCTACCGAATCATGTGTGGCTGTAAGTAGTAATTGTAATATGGCATGTCAAATGAACTCCACATTCCTAGCAAAGACAGTGTATTATGGACAAGACTTCACAGCTCCGATCCAAAAGTTATAAATACTACTATGAAAGTCAAGTATTATCTTCAACAATACTTAAAGCAACCTATATATCCCTAACAAAATCTTTCACCATCCTTTCAATAATCAAGAATCTTGTCCATTCCCTTGCCAAAATATGTAGGGGAAGAAACGGCCATAGTTCATCAAGATAACTAGTGGTGTCAATGCTGTTGCTACACTTTGTACCCCATGCATGTTAGAAGAGAATGCAATAAAATTTTTACACATAATTTTCACAAACTGTCCATCTATAGCCTTATAGGTCTCCCCGCACATATATCAAGTTCCCAAATTCATCCTAGATTTCTCATACCCAAAAATGTCTAGGATTTGATAAAACGAAGGGTAAAAAAAAAAACTCAATCCAACTCCGTTAAATGTAAAAAACCCTAACCCTAAATTTTGCTGACAATATGATCTATATAGCCTTTCCTAACATCAATACAAATCAATATTATCTAAATATCCTATTATCATTTTGTCTATTCTAAAAGTGATCGGCTATGTAATTTGACAAATTAAAAGATGAACAAATTCACTAAGAACTAATCAGTTGGACTCTTAGAATTGATAGTTTCAGCTTTCATGGATGGTTCAGATAAGTTTAGTTCTATTTTTGACAGGCCACTGTCTTGCTAGCTCATTCCATTCTAATATATTGATCTATTTTCATATATATATATATATATATATAATGCTCCAATCAAACCAAGAAGAAGAAGAAGAATTGAAGAAGAAGAATTAGCAAGTGCTGTAAGAATATAAAACAAATTGAGAACAACGATGATACAAAACCCAACATCTCCGTAATGGAATAATCTCTGGATACAAAGAATACAACAAAAGAAATCAAGAGATTAACTAGCTAGTCCCCTCCCATATGAGCTACAAGGCTAGTCATTTTCCAATATCAATAGTGTTCTGTATCATGAAAATGATGAAGTGGGATCTTCTACAAATACAGAACCCCATAAATAAGTTAGAGATCAATTACATACCGATATATCTAACATGAAAATTTTTCTACTCTTCTTTAGGCTCCTTTCTCATCTGGGAGGGCACAATATCCTGAAGAAGGCCATGGTCCCTAAGCAAAGAAGCTGGTAAAGCTTGACCATCCAACCTTCTGTCTTGAAATGAAAAGGAGGGACTAAAACTAGTACTACTTGTGGTAATGTTCAAAGAAGGTGATGAGCTATACATGTAGGCATGTTGTTGTTGGTACTGAGGTTGCGGAATAACAAAAGAAGATGTTGCAGCACCAAAACCACTTGAATCAGCCATAAATCCAATACTTGCTCTCGGAGTTATTGGGCTTGGATGTATGTGTTGTCCTTCATATGTTGTAACAACAATAGATGGATCATCAGATGATCTCTCTACTCTCTTCTTCACACCACATCCTGCACTAGTGCAACGATAATAACTCCTGCAAGAAAAGCAATAAATTAACGAACTTTTTAACACGATACCATCATCACCAAAAAAAAAAGGTGTTCCGTATATATTACATCTTGCTACACAAGTTACAAGATTTTGTGAATCATCATATCAGAAGAGATCAGTACTGTCATAAAGAAGACCAAGAGGGGATTTTAACGATATACCTTGGATAGGGGCTGTTTTTCACAGCTTTTTGGCCGTACTTCCTCCACCTGTACCCATCATCTAGCTGATCAACTTCACTCTTCGTCATGAAAGCAAATCTCGGCTCTCTTTGCCTTTTCTGGTTCTTCTTTTTCGGTTTCAACCTAAACCCACAACACATTATCACACTTTCGGTACTTACAAAAAAAAAAAAAAAAAAAGAATCACAACAAACAATTCTAAAGAGTTAAAAAGAAAAAAAAAAACACCATCTTATAATTCATTTTTCTTTCAGTAGATCACTCATCACTCTTTTCTTTCATGTTGCCATCTAAAACTAGAAACTCACTGTAACAAGCATGACAAAAGAAAGCAATAAAAAAAAAAAAAAAACCAATATTATATATATTTCAGTGCAAAAGCACCTAAAAAAAAAAACTTACTGTTTCTTGGTCTTGTCTTGATCCTGCTCTTCTTCTTGATCTCCAGCTTTAACTTGTTGGGAACCATCATTTCCTGCTTCATTCGAAGAGGAAGAGATAGAAGCTGATGAATTTGGAGTTGTTGGGTTATTCAACACCTCTGATGTTTCCGGTAGAGTTGATGCCGGTGATGGGATAAAAGATTGCTGCTGCTGAGACCCCACAATCTGATTCTGAGAAAACCAATCGAATAAAGAAGAAGTGGTACCAAAATCTTGGTTGATATCAAGCAAGTCCATAAATCCTAAAGACCCAGCCTTTTGATCCCCACCAACAATATCACATGGCATCATGTCAAAGATGCTACTTGTTGTTGTTGTTGGCGTTGCTGTGGTTGATAAAGCAAAGAAACTAGGCATCAGATCAATATCGCTCGTTGTTGGTGGTGTAATGAAAGTAGAATTTGCCATATTGAAATTCTCTGTCTTTAATGTTGTTCTTGTTACCTCTTTCTTCTCTTCTCTCTTCTCCATAGAATCTTTGCACACACTAATATTATTCTGCTTCATTTCATTCATTACCAAAAAATAGAAATGATTTTAGAGGGTGTGAAACTACTTCAAAGTGTGGATGGACTTTCTCCTTCTTGTGTCTAACAGCTTAGATTATTGAGGTTTCCCATTGTTGAGGTGACTGGCATTTGCCGGTTTTTTTGTACGGAGTTGTGGTCTTAGGACGGTGTTTGGCATTTAATGCTGCTGGACCGCAATTGGGTCCCTATTTTCATACGCGGATATTTTGACTGGTTTCACCGGTTGCGTATAGGTTAGACATTTTTGCCACACGTGGATTTTGAATTGGACTAAAGAAAGATCAGAACAAAAGTGTTTAGATAGTTCGTGTGCATGTGATCTCTCTCTCTCTCTCTCTCTCTCTGCCTTTGGTTTTTTGAGGTTCTCTCGCGGTCGGCTTCTTTCCGTTGCTCTTTTTTAACTTTAGATCGCGATTTTACCCTTTTTTTTCCTTCGCATGAAATTGACATCTAATTACATACGAATTTACTTTAATATCCCTTCTCGTCTTGTTTTGTTTTTGCGTGTGTGTTTTTTTTTTTTACATGATCATCCATTAAATTAGGTACAATTGCATTTACACCGAGCTTTAAGCTTGTAATTGCAAACAAAATATAAAAATATATCATTAGCATTGCCAAAAAGAAGAAATGGGATTTTATTAAGTTTAATACATTTTACATAGTATATGTATTTTAGTTATACTTGATGAGATCCAATTAATTTAAACTTTTGTTTTGTTAAATTCGATGTTGACATGTGGATTTGTTTTGGACACTTCAATTCCAAAAGCCTTAAATTTTGAATCCTTGAAAATATTCTCATATTATTTTTAATTTTGATTTTGGAGACAACAAGTTTGAGAATTTAAACGTTTTACTCATCTATATGTATCATCTTTTACAATATTTACGCAATATAATTCAATGATTTTATTCTCGATAGATTACATACTAAAATTGTTATAATAAATAAAAAACATTTAGAACCTTAAATAATAGCTAAATATGATAGTTTTTTTTTTTTAATTTCAAGTGCAATAGTTTTAATCAGTTTTTTAATATTCAAACTAATTTTATTTGTGGTTAAATTTAATTGGATTATATATATTGCATTAAAAAAAATCAAGATAATAATTTATGAGAAAAAACTCAAAGTAAAGCTTATGAAAATAGCAACAACGAAAACCATTTATAATTAAGTGGAATTAATTGAGTCCTCTCAACTTAAAATACGAAAAAAATAAAAACCAGTCTTTGCATTCGCGTATGCATGTTCCATTTTAATGATATTGACCCCATAGTGAATGATGAAGATAAAAAGAAATAGGAAAATCTAAGGTCGAACTTGTAATTTGCTGAGGCAACTGTTATTGACCATTATAATCCTTTATATTTCGTTTCGTTTGAAAATTAATCCTACTCTTGTCATTTTACATATTTTGCATCTTAATTTGTTCTGCATCTTAAGGGTAATTGGGTAATAGGCTGCTGCCTCCACAAGAAAACTTTCCGCACATAAAAAAGAGGTTCATTGAAAGATTCAAAATAACCGCGTTGTGAGCGTGTAAGAGAAGGTTCTTGACACGTTTGGTCCGACATGAAGTGCGCGATGATGACACAATCTCCACGCCACCAAACCGTTCCCACATCTCTCTCTTCTCCGACAAGCCAGCACCGTCAATCAATGGACCACAATCCGCACCGTTTTAATCAATGTTTGCAACTGTCCGTTGCGTTTTTAATAATTCAAATTAATTGGCTCTCTACCTCCAAAATGTAATAATAATTATTAATTAGTTGACACGTCTTGTAGCCGAAGTATTATTCCCAGTTGCTGATTAAATTAGAGCAATCTTAAATCTTAAGAAAATAAGATAAAAAAAATGTCAAGAATACACATAAATTGTTATATCGTGATTTTAAAATGTGATTCACTTATATATCTTACTAATTCAAAACATCAAGAATACACATGAATCCTTTAACGGGCTATGTATAATATTCTTGATGTTTTTTCTTGTCCTGTTTTATTGATGTTTAACATTAATCATAATTAACTCTTTTTTTATTGTGAATAATTCGTTAAAAAAATTTCACAATAACGACTTATTTTTTGTGTTAAATCATCAAAATAATAAGTATTCTTGTTCTTGAAAGCCAATTCTATAGCGTGCGTATTTATGGTCATTAAGAATCGATGATGTAATTATATGAATCTATTTAATCAAAATAAAAAATTGGCATATAATCACTATTATTTGTGTTAATGTTATTATTGGCTAAATTATAGGGTCAATGATCATAGTCTATACATAAGGTCATTGATTGCCGGATCAGAAGCTTGATTGTAGCTGATATGATTTGTATAGCTTTTCCTTTCCTAGTATAGTCTCTACTTTCTTTTATTTAGATTTTAATATTTTATATATATACATAGGGCTATTGTGCAAAATTGAATAAAAAAGACGAAGCTTTCTAAATTATCACATGGTATCAAAGCCCTAACCTCCTCTTTAAACAATTTATCTCTCGTTCTTGCATACTTTCTTTCATGTCTTGATTCTTGTATTTTTTGCCTAGCTTTGTTTCCTTCCTTTTGTTTATTACTAGAGCCTTAGCCTCCATTTCTAGATAATTTACCTCTATTTTGCCTAGTTTTTTTCTTCTTTATTAGGATATTTATTTTATTCTTTCTGCTGAATTTTATTGTTTCCTATATGCCTAATTTGGACAAATATGAAGTTCTTAAGCCCATTGCCATTACTTTAAACAAAACCAACTACAATCCATGAGTCCAAGATATAAATTTTCTTTTATTAGGCACAAACTCGGCGTATTGTCATTGGTGACATTGTTAGACCATTCTAAGAAAAAATGAGTATGTTGCCAAATTTACTAATCGACTTGACAATTGGGACAATAAAAATCACCAAATTATCACCTAATTTCGCAATACCTCAATTCCATTCATTCACGTTCAGTTTGCCGATTATGATATTGCTAAAGAAATCGGGATTTTTTAGCTAATCGATACACCATTACAAGTTTTGCTTGCTATTATCAATTACGAATAACTCTCTATAATATCAAACATGAGCCCGGTCAATCCGTGAATGACTTTCTTACTCGAGTTCAACTTATTTGGAATCGGTTATCTCCTACCAAAATTAATGAAGATCATCTAATCCTTATTCAAGTTCTTATGGCACTTCAACTAGAATATGAGGCTATCGAACCTTTTTATTGCATCACAATCCTCTACTTACTTTAAAGGTCGTCATTTATAAGATTATTTTTTAAGAAACATGTATTAATCTAAACAAAACTCCTTTGTCTATAGTTGCTCTTGCAGTTGCTCATTCTAGATCCTCTTAAAAAAAATATAGAACTCCATTCTACAAGCTCGTCATCAAACTAGTCATGTTTTTTCTAATTTTTCAATCATCGAATGTCGATATTGTCATAGTTTTGGACACATCCTAGAACACCGTCCTACTTAACCTCCGTGATAAAAAACTAGTTCTTTTAAATCTCAAGCTCTCTCAAAATTTGACTCTTCATCTATTGTTGATGTTACCATTATGGGGTCCGTTGCCATCACCATGAGTGATCTTAAGGCTCTTCTTAAATAGGTTACCTCTTTTATTTCTTTCATTGACAAGTCCGTTACCCCAAGTAACTCTTCCTAGCTCTTTGACTCGCATATTGTAATCACATGACCACAAGCTCTAATGTCTTATCTCCAAAGCTATCAATCACCTCTTTACCACCCATGCATACTACTAATGGTACCTAAATGCACATCACTCATACTAGCCTTGCTTCTACCCCTACCTTTAGCTTTTTTGATACTTATTAGGTTTCAAATTTAACTTTAAACCTTATCTCTATTAGCCGATTATGTGAATAAGGATTAAATGTTATGTTTTCTTTCTTTGGTTGTTAGGTTTAAGATCTATAGATGGGCTAGATTCTTAGGAAGGGTCGTAAAGTATGACGATTATTTGAGCTTTTCTCCCTTCTTGTATCAACTCGCTACTATAGACTCCCCATGTATCAATGGCATCCTCACCTTGGTCATGCTTCTACTAGTAAACTTTAATCTTTAACTTTTCATAGTTTTTTTTAGTCTTTTTGTTGTCTTAACTCGTTAACTTGGTAAAAAGTTAGCTATGTCTTTTAATAATATTAATTCTATCTCGTATACTCCTTTAGTCTTTATTCATTCGATAGATAGAGTCTTTCTCCTATTACTTCGGTTAATGGTTATTGTTATTTTAAGTTATTTATTGATGATTTTCCTACTTTACCCGGATATTCTTTTTAAAACGTTGATTTGAACTACCTTTAGTTTACATTAAATTTGCCTTAATGATTAAAACTTAGTTTTCTCACATCATTAAGACTCTTTGAACCGACAATACCATGAAATATAAGGAATCCTCATTGCTTAGCTTTCTTGATCAACAAGGTACTCGTTATCTAATGTTCTTTCCTTCACACTTTCCAATAGAATGGACAAGCGAGTGTAAACATTTCCATATCTTTGATTCCGTGTGCGCTCTCGTTGTTTTCCTCTTCATGTCCCGAAAAATTTTAAGAGGAAACGAGTTCTCACTACTGTCTTTGTTATTAATCGCATTCCTACCTTGGTCCTTAAAAACCTATCTCATTATGAATAACTCTTTAGTAAGCCTCATGATTACTCACTTTTAAAACCTTTTGGTTCCGTTTGTTTTTTCCTTCGCAACCATATGAACACTCCAAATTAGAGCCTCATGCCTTTCATTCTCAATTTGGTTTTTCTTCTAGTCCTCGTGATTTTACCTTATTCATCCGTCATACTAATTATGGTGTTGTTCTTCTTTTACTCTATGTTGATGATACGATTATTACAAGAGGTGACACATCTTGTATTTTTGAACTACAAGGATATCTTTGTCAACATTTTAAGATGAAGGAATTGGGCCCTATTAGCTATTTTTTTGGGTCTTGAAGTTTCAC